AATAAAATATATAAATAAATATATATATAAATAAAAAAATATATAAATAAATAAAAAATATAAATTAGAACTAAACATCCAAACCTAATATCTACTTGAAACTGAAAAGTCATTTTAAATATAATGTCTAGATATATTACTAAAAATATAACAGTCAACATTGCTAATATACAGTCAATGTCTTAAGATTTTTCCAGAAAAGCAATATTTAATTAAATACTAGATCTTATATTGCTACAAGCTATATTATTTTCTGTCTATCAACTCCCTGATTTTTTTTTAAATAATTTATAATATTATTTTTTTAAATTATAATTTATTTACAATTCATATCAACAAAAACAAAAAACAAACCATTGAAGTGGAAAGCATAAGCTCTCTTGTCCAACTGCCATCACCAATAAACATTTCAGTGAACAGGGAATGAAATAAGAACTCAGAATTGAACTTGGAAACTCTTACATTCAATCGTGAATGCTGGGTAGGTGAAGTTCTAATACCTTTTCAATTATAAAATGAAAATATCCAGCAGTGAAAATAGACTCCATGTTCCAGAATACATGATCATAATGGACTCTATTAGCAAAATATGGAAAAAAAAACTATTCCAATACAAATTAAGTAGAAAGACTAACAAATTTAAAAGGTAGGGAATTTTTACTTTTTTTTTAAAGCAAATTATAGTTAAAATATTTTATCACTTTTTTTTATTAACAGAACAAAATAAATTGTGATCGTATTTAAGATAACAGACTTGGTTTTTCTGTCATCTGTACCCATTTTATTTGTTCCAAGGTTATGAGAGAGAGGCCCACATGGACACATTGGTGTTGATTTTGGTGCAGACTTCATAATATTAAATGGGGAAGGTAAAAATTTTTATTATGGCTTTAAAAGCAAACATTTTAAAGTGTATATATATATATATATATATATATATATATATATATATATATATATATATATATATTTTTTTGGATTGATGTGAGTTTGTGACCCTGGGTTTCACGCTTTTGTGATTGTCAGACAAACTGATTAATTTTTTTTTTTAAATTTTGGGATCAGTTTGTCCAACGATCGCAAAAGCGTAAAACCCAGGGTAACAAACTCACATCAATTCAACCAAATATGTTAGCTCTATCTCTGACATTGAGCAATTTCTAATAAGTACCGCACATATAATATATATATATATATATATATATATATATTTATATACAGACACTTTTCAGATATATATATATATATATATATATATATATATATATATATATATAATCAAAGGGATAAGAGCCAGGCTAAGCAAAAAAACAATATTACTCACCATAAAATGGTGAATCAAAAATTATATTTAAAAAAAGAGCTAACCATTTAATCACACGTAGCTCAACTGAGAACAAAACATGTAAATATGGGCACAACATCTAAAGAAAATCGAAAAGAAAAAATTACTAACAGAAAATCATCAAAATAAATTAGAGATGATTAAATTTAGTTACAATTCCTTCTGCTTACAGAGGAGAGTTTAGACTTGGTTCAGATTCTTTAGGTTAAATCTAACCATCCATCCCTCTGTATATGGTTTCTGGATCTAAATGTGATCTGCCTGTGGTTTATACTGCTGATTCTCAGGTAATATTTTTTATTTTTCTGTTTATTTTATATTTTAGCCATTATGCATATATTTATGTTTTATCAATTGATCTGTGAAGAGCAAGAAGTGATAAACAGTTTCTTTTTTCTTTTTTGGTTTATGCTAGATTTTTCAATTTGCCACTTTACAGTGAGTAATAATTTGCCCTAATTACTTCTCTGTTTTAATATATATGCATAACTTAATACATACTTTTAACAAGTCTGTTTTTTAAGCCATCATAAATAATAAAAAATCAAGCATCAATTAGGCAATAAGATAGAAACTTTTCTGAGTTTCTAACCAGTAACCATCAAGATTTTCTCTATTTTTCTTTACACTTAAACTCTCACATCCAATAAATAATTTATTCCAATACACACACACACACATATATATATATATATATATATATATATATATATATATATAGCCAACCTTATATATTATTGAGGAACAAGTATGAAAAGATTTATATATTTAACATGTTCTGCTATTTATTTAGATTCATTATAATTTTGGGGAATAGGACAGCAAGGAAATGTTTTGATTCTTTTTAATTCTATGTCGTTTGTTTTTATTGGTGGGGTAAATGTCATGTGTTCAGCCAATGAAAACAAAGAACATAGAATTCAAAAAGCAAAATATCTCTGTGCTCTCTTACTCCTCAAAATTTCTGATGAAGCTAAAAAAAGTAAAACACATCAGATTTATAAACGTTGTTCTATTTGTTCCTTACTTAATCATTTTGTTGAATTTAATCCATATATATATATATATATATATATATATATATATATATATATATATGAAGTGAGAGAGAGATATTTGAGATATTTGATATATATATATATATATATATATATATATATAGAGAGAGAGAGAGAGAGATTAAGATTATATATATATATATATATATATATATATATATATATATATATATATATATATAGTGGTATTTGACATAGAAAGTTCTAAATTCCAGGAGGATTAAAATACAAAGAGAGCTCTACTATAGATATAGGATCCAATATACAGGTAGTAATCCGTTGGTATAAATCCAAGCAAATCCTATTAACACAACACAGAATTTGAAATATGTTAGCGCTCTTTTGTGAGTCAATTTTAACAGATTTCAAATTCTATGTTGTGTTAATAGAACTCACCTGGATTATACCTACAGATTAGATTATATATATATATATATATATATATATATATATATATATATATATAGAGAGAGAGAGAGAGAGAGAGAGAGATTAAGATACAGAGTGAGAGAAATATTAAGAGAAAGAGAGAAATTGACAGATATTAAGAAAGAGAGAGTTTAAGAAAGGGAGAGAGATATTAAGAGACTGAAATAGATAGAAAGATATTTGATATCCTTTTTATACCAGTGTCAACACCAAAACAATGTCTCCTCCATAATCCTGAATATCTTTATAGTAGCCATAGTATCAATGAAAATGAATCAGGAGCCAAAACAATTTAAATAATATTCAATTTGATCAGAGGTTCTCAAACTGGAAAGTATGAGCCACCCTCCACCCCATCCTCTGAGGAAAAATACAAAAGCATTTCAGCTGAGTGACCTTTAAGAAGAGTCAATTGGAAATTGCTGGCATTGGGAACTTGGTAGGCATATTTTAAAATCTCTATGTACATATAAAATGTCTCCAAAAATGTATACAGAGCTATATCAACAAGTCTGCAGCCTAATGATAAAAAAATGCATTTATTCAGCACAACAAATATTTTTCAACTCCAATACCCTTCCTTGTCAATGCACTTAATTCAATAGTGAATATTAATTACATTTTACAGTGATCAATATTCAACTAATAATCACATATCAGGCTACAGACTTATATGATCCAACTTTATACATAACTAGTTTTGTTTAAAAAATCTACCACTTTTGCTAAAACTACTAGTTATAAAAATATTAACTGAAATATTAATATACGAAAACATAAATATATACATTTTTAGAAATCCTGTGTATATGTTGAGTAATATTTTAATTAATTAGTATTTAACACATGGGTTATAATTTGAAGATTTTGTGGAGTTTTTTTCTAATTCACTTAATATTTTTTTAATATGAACATAAGTAAAAAATGTGATTTTCAAAATATTCTAAAATGTGTGTATTTTAACAATTAGAAACTATAATTAAAACTGGAGATATCCCAAGATATTTACAATAAACTTTTTATCTTAGTGTTTCAAAAAATTAACAGATTGCTCAAAAGAAGAAGAAAGAACAATAATGATTGTTTTTTTGCTCCTTAAAAATTTAACTTCCAAAATTTATGAAGCAGAAATCAAAAATCACTCACATCTAAAAGTCATAGGTTTTGAGGAATAAGAAAAATGGATTCCTTTAAGAGGCAGTGGGAGCAGGTGAAATAGGTTTAAATAGTTTGAGAACCTGTGAACTGGACAGACGGAAATCAGCAAACATGAACTTTCATGCCTGCAAAAAACAGTGTCAAAAGGATAGTTTTTCCATTACCAGTGCTATTATTTTAACTACCTTTATTCCTTGGCAATGTTTATTTTTTTTAAAAGCAATAATAGGAATTGTAATAAAGCCTAAACATACAAAAGTGAATTTATACATTTTTTTCCTTCTTGAGAATTGGCAGCAAAAGTAATATAGACTATTTATTTATTAGATTTTTTTATTGGAATAGTTGGCAAAACATTGGCTAATTGCCAATTGATTTGAACTTTATAAAATGGTAAATATGGATTTCCTTATTGTTGGTTCACATGATTTAGTAAATGTTTATAAATTTAGGAATAAAAAACTATTTTCATATTTATTTCTTTATAAATGTGTAAATGGTAAATATTGTATTACATTAGTTTTAATTGTATTAGTTTTTAGAATGTTGTAAATATAAAATTATTCTTGTGAATAAACAATCTAAGAAATAAATAGTGTTTAATATTTTTGTTGTCAATTCTCAAGAACAAAAATATGTATAAACTCACTTTCGTCATATGTTTAGGTTTTATTACAATTATAATCATCGCATTTTTAAACAACAAACATTACCGAGGAGTGAAGGTAGTTAAAATAATAGCAGTGTCAAAAGAAAAACCATTCTTTTGTGAGCACAAAGGTTCAAGTTTGCCCAAAGATCAATGGTAGAGAAAGAAACATGGCATTTGATTCAAATTAACAAGAATACACAACTTTATAAAGTAAATAAAAAGTCACACACACCCATATATTCAATTTAAAACCCTTATAAACACATGCACTTGTATAATTCGCTGTTTACACACACACACACACACACACACACACTGATCCCCATATGTCTATAGGCATTGAGAAACAAGATGAAGCTTATTGTGGATTACCAACAGTATCAGCCAAACCGATGAGATAACCTTTCACTTGAGTATCATATTCGGTGCTGTCTGGCTTTTCTGTGAGCACCCAGGTGTCATCAGAACCCTGCACATTTGCCCGGCATACTGGGCAGGTTCGGTGAGAAATATTCCTGGAATAAAATATTAAATGAGTCAATTTTAAAATATTTATGATTCAACAATTTAAAAATATTAAAAAGATAAAGAACCAAACTCCAAAAATATTCACAATTTGATTAATAATTGAGGTGTTAAATACGTTTCTTTGTAATATTTTGAGAGCAAGTCATAAAAGCCATAAGGTTCTCCATGATTAATGATATGTCCCGGAAAGGGATATATTTGATCGAAGTAGCAAAGTGGTTGTTGACTACTGTAACCGAGTAGGACAATCTAGCAAGTAACCGTAATGGACTGGTCCTCGTCGTAGTGGTAGGCAATAGGCAAAGACAATAGGTGTAGTCTGTGTACCTCCACATCAGTCTGTATTTATGGATGACACCAGCCAATCATATTACTGTGAGGGGGAACCCAGGTGTATGCATATTCATTACATCAGTTAAGATGCTGCAATATACAGACCTAAAACAAAAAAACTCCTCTGGTGACAATCACAGGTGTTTTTAAAACATTTTAGATACCATCAATGCTTATGACTGGCAAGGAATTAAGCAGATTTGCATACTTACTGCCTCTGATCTCATCTGAATAGGTACCTTATATACCAGACGAATGGTCACACTTTTTTCATCAAAATTTCGATAAAAATCAGGGATCTGACCTATCCACTCAACATGATAGGGAATCTGAAGTAGACTGTGGCATATCAACAGTTCAGGTGAGTAATCTTGGATCAAGCATAAGTAAGATCAAGAGAGAAAATGAATTTTTCTCCGACATATTGATTTTATGCAATTGCCTCTTCGAACAGCACCACATCGCACATTGAATAAAAACACTCAATCTGTACTGCTGATATTCACCATTTATTATCTGATTTATTATCTGATTTATGATGAAAAAGATTTATGAATAGATGGGAAGTGACACTATACAAAAAAACCTCATATCACTCAAAAACTATTTACATTATTCGGACTATTGTCCTCATCTTTGTCGCCATATTTATTACAACATTTCAGCCATTGTGTGCTCCAGCCTTCTTCAGGTAGTTGGAATGTCAAACTGAACCCTTCATTTCACTCACTGGGGTAGACTTTTCTAGTTCCATGTGCCATGTCTAATGGATGTTGGTTATCAGTTATCTCCTGTTAATTCCGCTCTCCAAGTTCCCCACCACCTTAACCAGGTATTCATCTCACACTCTTTGGGTCCTGTCACTGGATCTAACTAACACCTTTATCCACTGTGCCATGTGCCCTTGAGGACATCTGTATAAAGGGTTCAGTTCAGCATTCCAACCACCTGAAGAAGGCCAGAACATACAACAGCTGAATAATAAATATGGCGACAAAGATGAGAACAATAGTCTGAATAATGTAAATAGTGTACATAATACCTCATCTCAGAAATATAGACATATGCTCAAAAACTACCAGAAGAGGCTGATGAAAAAATTCATAATTTTGTAAAGTTTGTCCTGAAGGCATGTAAAATATTTCAGTTCTCCTTAGAAAATATAAGAAATTATTAAGTCGTTCAAAAAATGTGGCATTTCCAAAATCACATTAAGAATATTTTAAAGGAAATAAAGTAAATATTTAGGTTTAGTGATAGTTGTCAAAATCTCATGGGCACTGTGACAATCACAGCCCTGTCAATGTCATCAACCTGCCAGCTAATCTGTGTGAGGGTAGTAGGAAGATTTCCCGATTGGACCAGTGAAGAGGAATGCCACCCCCTAATGTACCAAGAGGCTATCCACCAGTTATCAGCCTGGAAGTAGGAACTGTGCCTCAGAGATCAATGTCTTTACCAGTGGGCAAAGGAACATCTGAGAGGTGGGACAGGGCACCCTCAACATCCCTTGTACAAAAGGAATTGGCAAACCATTGCCCTATTTTGCCTTGAATATCACCATAAAACACTATTACAACAGAAATAGGGGAGTAGTAAACACAATGGTGCAAAATGCGCTAACTGAATACATGAATGAATGATGAGAATTGTCAATAGTATTAAGTTAGCATTTTAACTTTTAATATTACAATGCATTCAAAATTGTTAGTACTTTGGTTCTATAATTGATCATTTTATAATAGAGAAAATTTCATTATTTATATATGCAGAATATTGTCCTCATCTTTGTTGGAGACTGATGTAATGGAATAACCTGTTACCATCATGAGTAACTACACTATAGGTAGTAACTACCTATAAGTATCGGCAAGTCAAAAGACTATGGAGTCTAGCTGGGATCTGTTGAGTACAACTCAGACTTACACAAGAACTACCAACCTTCCAATAGTAGCAGTCACTACTGGATTGACTTGCAACAATCGCGCACATAACTGTTACCTTATTTCTTATTGTACTGGTTTTTACAATAAACTTTTACTTATTTTATCCACCATGTTGTTCAAGTATATATTCATATTAGCACAGAATATAATGGAGACAATAGTCTGCATGTAAATAATGATAACGCCACATTGCAGAAATTCAGACAGAAGAGAAAATTTCATGTATTAATTTCATTTGAACTCCCAATTATTATGTTGTTGAATTTATTATGTTGCCAAATTTAAAAATCAATGCTTTAATCCATTAGGACCGGTCAGCGTGTACTTGAAAACAGAGTGAAGTATAACTGAGCAGCACTAAATAAGAACAAGATATCTCTAGGTATGGACTACAGAAAGAGAACAATTAACAATTACATTAAATAAAGTGTTGATCGTAGGGCAGTCCATCAAAGGTTCAATTTGAAATTGAAATTTAAAACATAATAATGTTTCCAATTTACAATTCATTATAATAAATAAAGGGTTTATTTATTTTTAACAACCCCGAAAAGAACATTAATGCAATCAAATCTAAAGACATGATTCTTATTCTTTTATGTGCCATGTTCCTTCAGGACTTCAGTGATCATAGCTCTCCACAACTTTCAATCCTTCATAATTCTAAGTAATGTTTGTCCCCTGACTATTACACCCAGCTCGTTTCTGCCATCCATTTACACAAACTCATTAGGTAGATTACTCGCTTTTCTATCTTTGTTCCTTTTGCCTTCAACATGCCCTGTGAGTGTCAAACTTTCCAAGCTCTCTTTCCTAATTATGTCTACCAAAAACTTCAACTGTCTCTTTCTGATTCTATGTATGTGTCGTTTTTGTTCCATTTTCATTAAAACTTCCTTGTTGCTCACATGCTCCATCCATGGTATTCTCAGCATCCTTCTGTAGAACCACATCCCAGTTGCCTCAAGTCTCCTCTTCATCAGAGAGAAAATTGTTCAACATTTAGGATTGATATTACATATCACTTCTGCACTGTACAGTGAGTGGTTTGGTTTGGTTTGGTTTATGGCATATCAACATCCATGGGTTATTTAATGCCAACAAAATTTATTTTGCTGGTCATATTTTGTTTTTGTCAAAAATCTATTTCTGGTAATATTTTTCATTCAAAAGTATATTGCTGCTAATAGTTTTTTTTTCTACAAAAATTTATTGCTGGTAAGAATTTTTCCAAAGTATTTCTGGTATTAAAACCTATTTTTACACTTTCATAGTGTTTTTACCAAAGTTTCAGGGTTGAAAAAAGGCAAGGATGATGGGTGGGATTTAGGGATTACAGACCCATAATTCTGCTGTTAAAGATTATGGCCAAGATCCTGATTGGGCATTTGCAGTCAGTTGCCGAGAGTATGTTGGGACCTGAACAGACTTGTGCTGTGAAGGGACAAACAATTCAGAGCAATCTACATCTGATCCACACAATCCTAGAAAATGTAGACAACAATCAAGCCATGCTAATCAATTTAGAACAGTACAAGGCATTCGACAGGGTCAACCATCAGTATCTGACTGCTGTCCTGCAAGCTGCCAGATTCAAACCCAACTTCTGCAAGTGGGTCAGCCTCCTATATCACTCTTCCAGTGCTGTGGTACAGGTGAACGGAAAACGGTTGAATGCTTTTGAACTGTCACATTTCGTCTGCTGTTGCCCTACTTTATGCTTTGGCATTGGAACCCCTCTTTCACCGGTTGATAGACAGGGCATGCAGTCCGACCATATGTGCAGTCTGGTTCTTGTGTCCCTGGAGGTTCTTGAGCCAGGGTTTCTATGTACATCAATGACATATTCATCTATTTTTGTGTCATGCTGCAAAGATACTGAGGTGGTACAGAAGGTGCTTGAACTGTACAAAAACATGACGGAAACCAAGATTAACTGCAACAAGTCTTCCGGTTTGTGGTTAGGTGCCCAGAAGGGAGTCATGCTTCCAGAACACTTTAGTTGGACAGACAGACCTGTCTGCATTCTTGGAGTGTGGTTCAGGCCCAGTCTCCAGCTGAAGAAGAATTTGTCCAAAGTACAGGAAACAGTCAGAGCAGCAGTCTGGACTTGGCTCCGACAGTGGTTGTCCATAAACGGTAGGGCTGAGGCATTGGCCACTCACGTCTTTCCTCTTATCCTTTATCAATTGGCTGTATTTCCTCTCTGCAAGGAGCAAAAGAGGGTGCTCAAGGGCTTGTTTTCCTCCCTCTTGTGGGGTGGTCACAAACATCAGATCTGCAGAGAGATCATTGCCCAATGTCCATGTCATGGGGGGACTAAGAATGCCACACATGTGCTTTCCTACACCGTGTGTTGACGGAGGACTCAATTTTGGAGGAGAGTGATAGGGATACCCTCCCTAGCCTTACCATCATAAGCCCTAGAATCAATCAAGATTCCACCAAGAGTGTCAGGTGACCTTGAAAGTCATTCCTCAGTCCAGTGACCTTTCACGTCCTTGCAGACTGTTGTATTGTAAATTAGTGGAGGAGAGTGCAAAGGATCCTCTCTGTGACCAACTCGACTTGTTAGCATCTGAGTTGCACCCTTTCTCGTCTTGGGCACCAGCAGCAGATTATCTCAGTGTTGTGGTGTCCTCCCTCTAAAGAGTCTATTTTAGACTCTTCCACCTACTATAAGATTAGTAGGAGAGAAGGCCTTAATA